GAATCAGAGAACAACTTGCTAGAGTTGGTTCTCTCCTTCTACCCTGTGGGTCTCAGGGCTCAAACTCTGGTCATCAGGCTTGGCAACAAGCCCCTTTCCCCATTGAGTCATCTTGCTGCCCTCTCTTAGTCTTTAATCTGGAACCACTCTGCGGTATTTCTTTGTGCTTTAGAGTTCCTAAGGATGCCGCTTATATACATGACTTTTCCATTAAAAAAGTATGCTTTAAACTTTGGTTTTTTAAAATACACAGGGTCTACCTTTGTAACTTGGTCTGTAATTGTAGCAGTCCTAGGATCACAGGTATCCACCACACTTGCTGAGACTTCCTTTAAGAAGATGAGGGATAGACTAGTATTACACCGTGGTTGAGTCAGGGCTCTGGAGCCAAACCACTTGGTTTCAGACATTAAGTACATTTCTGAATGCCAGTGTTCTCTCCCACGAGATTTCTTGCCTGTGAAGTGAGGACACTGTGACTCACAGGTGGCTCAACTGTTAAAGGTGCCTGTCACCAAGTGAGTTTGATCTCCAGAACCCAAAAGGTGAAAGGAAGGAACCAGTTCCCTCAAGCTGTCCTCTGACCTCTCCCCACTAAATAAATAAATGAAGTGATCTAGCAAGGAGGATGGCGGTGCTGGCTCACAGGCCTGGGAGCACGGAAAGCGTGTCCCTTAAATGCCGCTCTTACTCACCCCTAGGTGGATTCCTCTGAACGTTTGTCAGCCAGCTTGGCAATAGCTGCTGTGCAGCCCTCTCTTGTCTCCTCTCCCCACCCCTTTCTTCACATCTTAGAGCGTGAGGAGCACAGCTCAGCAGTTTGTAGCAGGCTTAGGTTGGGAAGCACTGCCCCAGAGGAGGGGCTCCCTTGTGCTAGTTGGTGCTAGCTGGTACCAGAGGTTTTCCCATCCACTATTCTGAGCAGAGAAGTGACTTTTCCCATGTGCTAAGTTCTTCACCTTTTGGTGTTATGGTATTATAGATGACCTTTTCATTGCATTTTAATATATTTAAAATGCAAATTTTTAAAAAGAGGAAGAGACAGCCTGTTAATTCCCAAATGTCTCTAGACATTTTTCTGGTCTATGTCGGCCAAGAAATTACTCCCCTTAATCATGCATGCTTGACTTTGAACAATATATAATGTAAAAATTTATTAATGCAACTATTAATTGACTGGATTTTTGTTGATGTCCTCCTGAATGCCAGGCACTGTGCAAAGTGGTCCACCCATCTCATCTTCCCATAGTTAACCCAGTGAACTCTACAGATTATTCCTAGGTATCCCAATAAGGATATGATGTAGCGGTCACACAGCACGAAAGCATACAGCTGTAGGATAATGAGGACCAGCCTCGGCTTCCAGAAGCCCTCTGTGCTCTCTTCTGTTAGGCATCACCCTATGTGCTTTGGACCTGTAGAATTTTAGAATCACAACTCCAAAAGTTCATGAGTATCTTTTTGGGGGGATGGTGGGAGAGACATGGTGTCAAGTAGCTATTTATACTAGCCTGCAGTTTACTATGTAACCAAGGATGACTGTGGATTATAGGCATATGCAGTCATGCTCAGTTTTATGTGGAGCTAAGCATTCAACCAAGGCCTGTTCATGCCAGGCAAGCATCTTACAATCTAAGCTACACTCCAGCTCCCGTACCCCCATAAATCCCTCTTAAGGCCAAGTGAAAGAAGTTGATTTAGTAAGTGAGGAAACTCCCAAGAGTGAGAGGGCTCTGAAGACTGAGAGGGGTCCCAAGAGTGGGAGGGGTCCTAGGAGTGGGAGGGGTTCTAAGAGTGGGAG